CTTCCTTCCTTCCTTCCTTCCTTCCTTCCTTCCTTCCTTCCTTCCTTTCTTCTTCCCTCCCTCCCTCCCTCCCTCCCTCCCTTCCTTTCTTCCTTCCTTTCTTTTTACTTTTCTTCTTTTGTTTTTGTTTTTCAAGACAAAGTATCTCTGTAGCTTTGGGGCCTATCCCAGAACTAGCTCTTGTAGACCAGGCTGGCCTCGAACTCACAGAGATCCGCCTGCCTCTGCCTCCCAGGTGCTGGGATTAAAGGTGTGTGCTACCACTGCCCGGCAAGCCTGGATTATTTCTTAAGAGAAATGAAATCTAAATGCAGAGTCATGAAAGCGGTCACATTCTCCACGGATGAAGGCTTCCGCGTTGGAAGGTGTGACATCTCTCTGACTTCGGCCCTGGTCCTAATGTATAGAACAGATGCCCTGCTTCTCTCCCGCCGTGCAGGGAGCACGGCTCAGCTTTCCTCTTCAAAGTCCAGACAAAGAAGGGGAGGCACAGGCAGAGATGGGGGCATGTAAGTACCTCACTAACATGGCTCAGATCAGCCCTCTGAACCCTGTTCACTAACCCTACAAGTCCCTTCTCCAAAGAACTGTCTCAGTGAGTGTGGGCCCCTTCTTGGACTGTCACATCAAGCCACCCACATGCAGGATAGAGACGCGGCTGGCTTGTTCTAGTTGCCACCAGCCATTAAAAGATTGGAATGCTTTATGGCGGTGTTCAACCCTCTCTGCTACCACTCTCGAGTGTTCTCCTGTAGGTGAACATGAATAGAGTAGTCCCACACTGGCTCAGAACTGAGTATAATAAAGGGTTCATTGTTTAGACAGCAGACTCACAGATCACAGTCTGCACAAGCTGGGAACAGGAACCGAATCCAGCAGCCAGGAGAGAGCAAGCAAGAGTGTGTTTTTTGGTACCCAATCTGGTCCAGCTTCTCAAAGGCCATTTACTGAAGAAGTTTCCCCAACATCCTCCTCCCATACTGTGCAGAGTAAAGCTAGAGATCTTCTTGCTGAAAACTGAATAAGGGGCTGGGAATGTAGCTAAGTTTGTACGGTGCTTGCCTGGCGTGCAGGTGAAATCCCGTGTTCAACCACCAGAGCGATGTGAACCAATCCTAATGGTGCAGGGTTGGAATCTCAGCACCCAGCAGGTGAAAGCAGGAAGATAAGAAGTTCAAGGTCATCCTTAAGTAGGTTGCAGGGGTGAGACCAACCAGAGCATAGTATTCAACCAACTATAGAGTCTTATTGATTATAAGCCCCTTCTGACTCACAGAGCCATGTATGGTGGTCAATCTCAATTGTCAGCTTGATGAGACCTAGAATTACCTCAGAGCAAAGGCCCTGGAAATGCCTGTGGGAGATTATCTTGGTAGGTTAATTGAGATGAGAGGATTCACTCCTCGAGGGAGCAGTCTGCAGGCTGGGATCATGGGCTGTATGAAAAGGATAAAGCGCCCTTTATCCCCCCTCTGCTTCCTTTGATCTGTAAAGCAACCAGCTGCCCCAGGCTGTGCCACTCGGACTCCCCTACTAATATGGACTGTACCACGTGAATCAAAATGAACCCTCAACTTCCTCACGGTGATTTTCTCAGAGTATTTTATCATAGAACCACAAAAGTAACTAAGTCACAGCAAAACTGCAGAAGTCCCAAACCATGAGGCTAACCCTACCTGGCAACCCTTCAGTCTTCCTATCTAATGGCAGGGCCTCCGAGATCCGGGCCAACTCCAAGGCCAGCACCCTTCTGATTGATAGTAGGTGGCCGAGCCCTCCTATGTTTATGGGCATAGAGGGGTTGAGTAACCAAGCAATCAGCCTGCCTTAAGATGCTGATGATGTTCATCACAGCAAAGTCAGCGTGGGAGGAGGGGTACTCACCCGTAAACACGGCTGATTTGCCTGTGGTCCTGTCCATGTGGTTATATCCTTGTGGTCCACATGAGACAACCAGAGTCAGTTTCTGGAAGGAACAGGGCTGGACTCTGTTAGTGGAAACTCTTTCTCAGAATTGTAGAAGGCCAAACAATCTTCACGGACTTTATTTTTAGCAGATGTCCTTCACTGGCATAACAAAACCTGGTGTCGACCAGTGCTCTAGTAAAATAGTAAAGTGTGTATTTATAAACACGCTCTAACGTGTCTCCACGGAGTAAAAGCCTTCTGTTTCCGCGGGCTGTCCTTTCATTTTCTAAATGAGTGCCGACTTTGTCTCCCTTCTTAGGGCCCGAGGAGGCAGAGGGAGGAGGGAAAGGAATTAGGTAGTGGGTTCCACTTTGATTTTTTTTTGGCTGGGCTCCTTTCTATGGGGGATTAGAGGAGGATAGTTGGCCACCAAGGAAGGCGTAACCCCTCTTGCTCCCTTCTCTCTTGTACCTGATATGTTATCCATTGTTCCGGCAAAGGACCTGACAAGAGGCAACTTAAGAAAGGAGGCATCTTAGTGCCCTATTGCTGGAAGAGACACCATGGCCACCGCAACTCTTAGAAAGGAAACCGTTTCATTGGGGCTGGCTTATGGTTTCAGCTGTTCAGCCCATCATCATCATGGTGGGACATGGTGGTGTGCAGACAGTGCTGGAGAAGGAACTGAAAGTCCTACATCTTGATCCACAGGCAGAATAAGGAAGAACTGTGTCACATTGGTCAGACTTGAGCTTATGAGGCCTCAAAGCCCACCTGCACAGTGATTCATTTCCTCCAGAGGCCACACCTCCTAATAGTGCCGCCCCCTACAGGCCAAACATTCACACACATTCCCAGTCAAACCGCCATGGGAAGGGTTTATTTTAGCGGGTAATTTGAGGGCCTCCTGTGCAGCAGGGTGGGGAAAGACATGGCAGCAGGAGACAGGTGACCGTGCTGGATCCAGTCAGAAAGGAGAAAGCCATGTGGGCTGCAGCTCACCTCACATTCCCCTCTTTTCCCCTTTCTATCCAGTATGAGGTCCTGCCCCGCAGAATGGTGCCACCCCAGGGGTGTGTCTCCTCAGTGATTCTAACCAGTCAAGCTGATAATGAAGGCTAATCACCATACCATTCCTCCTACTCTTCATCTCTGGAGAGGGGCGCTGATGTAGTCAGGGATGTCAGGGGGCAGAACATTCAGGGTTAAAAAGTTCATAAGGGGCAGGGCAGGGCAGGGCAGCCTAAGTGAGGAAAAGGGTTCTGAGGGTGATAAACTATTCTGTGTGATACTGCATGCTGGGCATATGGCCTTACATGCTTGTTACAACCTGTAGAAGGAAACACCAAGATTGAACCCTAATGCAAATCGTGGACTTGTAAGTACCGACTCACAAGCGAGCATTTACATGTCCTACTAGCTTAAAGCACTAATGGGGAAGTTAGAGGTGGGGATGGGACTATCTGGTATTTCCTGCTCAATTTTTCTGTAAATCTAAAACTTCTCCCCCACTAAGTCCCATTAGTTCAAAAAAAAAGAATATATTTGAGAAAGCACACTATCTCTTGCCTCCCCTGTCTGCTGGGACTCATCTCATCAAAGCCTCTCCTAAGTAGGAAGAAAGGCCAGACTTAGCCTGAGTTCAGCTGAGAGGCAGTGATTTTGGATCCAAGGCCACCACATGTGTTGCTTGGGTGAAACACTGCCCAGGGCTCAGACTGAAGAGACACGGTCTCCTTGGGGACATTGGAACTTTCTGTGTCGCAGGAATTCCAAGTATCTTTTCTTAATTCCCCAAAGGCTGTAGGTGAGCCTGTCTATTCTCTAAGCCTACTGCAAGCTGGGGATGTGGGGTAAAAATCCTCTGCGAATTTGCCCTTCTTCAGAACCTTGAGTGTGACAGGTGGAGGCAAACAATGCACATGAGATGTTCAGGGAGCGACATAAGTGGAAAACCATGGAGTCTGGTCACCATGGTGAACAGAAGAAGAAATGGCGTAGAAATAGCTAAGCCTTAGCTTCCAAAATGGCAGGATTAAAGTCACACATTAGCGGCAAATCCTTGAATCTATGGGGTCATTCAGATTTCCAAGCGTTTGACCACCCATTTGTCTTGATCTTTTGGTGTAGCAGGTTCTTCTGTTCATGTGTTGCTTTCATTGGTTAAGGAACAAAGAAACTGCTTTGGGCCTGATAGGGCAGAACTTAGGTAGGCAGAGAAGACAGAACTGAATGCTGGGGAGAAAGGCAGAGTAAGAGATGCCATGGAACTTCTGCCTGAGATGGACGCTGGTTAGAATTTTGCCGGTAAGCCACAGTCACGTGGGATTACATTGATTAATGGAAATGGGTTAAATTAAGATGTAAGAATTAACCAATAAGAAACTAGAGCTAATGGGCCAAGCAGTGTTTTAATGAATACAGCTTCTGTGTGGTTATTTCGGGGCTAAGCTAGCCGGGCAGCAGGGATAAACAAAGGGCCCCACTCCTTGCAACAATCTTTGTCACTTTTTTTCTTCTGCTACAAGAACAAGTTTGTGTGAGACTGGGCTTGTTAGTCCACAGAGACACAATTCTTGGCATGGCCTGGGGCCCAAGACAGGTGCGAGAGCAAGCTGAGGCAGCACAGAGGGGTGACAACCCAGTCTATACACCTCCATACGCTCACCCACTGTACGGCTTAAAGGGACGCTTTGTGGGGAAGATTTTATGGGACAGCAATAACAGTAGCACTTTGGAACCAGGAAAGCAAGCAAATGAGCACCTACCTGACTGAGCAAATCATACAAACCAAGCCCTCAGCCACAGGCACCTCAAAGCTAGAAGATCGGCTTTAGAGATGGCTCAGTCAGTAAAATGTTTGTTTGTCTTGCAAATGTTTGCAAGTGTGAGGACCTGAGTTCAATCCCCAGAATGCATGTAAAAAAGTCAGGTGTGGTACCATGCACTTGCAATCTCATCTGTGGGAAGGTAGCCACAGATCTCTGAAACTTGCTAGCCAGCCAGCCTCGCCTGCTTCATACATTCCAGGCCAATCGGAGACAAAGCAACAACAACAACAACACAAAACAAGAAAACCAAGCAACAAGATGAGTGGCACCTGAGGATCAATACTGCATTTGTCCTTTGGGCACTGCACACAAGCACAAGCATACGCGAAGAGGGTAGGGAACCCCAAGAACTCTGGAAGACGGCAAGCAGCTGACAGGGAGTTAAAATGGAGAAGACTAGGAAACGGTTGCTTGAGCGGTAACTGTGGTTGTGTGGAGAGGTTACTTTGCACACGTTGGGCCACCCATGGAGGAGCTGCTGAGCTGGTACTCTGCTCCTCCTTCTGCTGGATGCCTGCCTTGTCTCAGCTCAGCAGAAATCAGAAGTCTACTCCTTGAGGCGGCAGACAGTGTGGGTTTGGACAGGAAGCCGATGGAATCTAAGTTCCAGAGAGGGATCGAAGAGAGATATTGATCACCACACTCAGCAGCTTCTAGCCCTTTCGCTGCTAGGGGTGGGAACATGCTGGAAGTCTGATCCTTACTTTCCAGGCAAGAGCCCAGAAGACCTTCTCTCTCTGGGGAGACTGAGTAGCCCCAGAGAAGAAACCTAGAAATCCTGCTTCAGGAGACTGCCTCTAAGACACGATCAGGCTGTATCCTGATTCAGAAGTGACATCTGAAAGTGATTTGGGGGTTTGAAAGTAATTATGGGGTGCTGGGGCTGCAGAGATGGCTCACTGGATATGCTTTTTTTTCCATGTAAGTATGAGGAGTTCAGATCCTCAGCACTCACATAAATGCTGGGTGGACTTGGCAGCCCAGCCTACCTGTAATTCTAGCGCTCAGAAGCTGCACACAGAATTTCCGGAGCAAGCTGGGAAGCTGGTCTAGCTGCACTGGAAAGTTGTGGGTTCAGTGACCACACATATTCCCAGGCACCTGTTCCCACACACATGCAAACACACATACGTACATACCACATGCATACACACAATTAGAAAATGATTAAGATAGAAGGGATGGCACGAAAAATGTACAGAACCAGAAAGGTGTGGCGCCTGCTGAGTGAGCTGTGGGCAGAGTGTTGGGTCAAAGATAAGGGAGGACAAATTGAGAGCAGGAGAAGAGGGTGGCAAGGCCAGGTGAGATCCAAGGGTACCTGATCAAGATACAGTGCACAGAGAAACTCATACCCAAAGCCCAGTCTCCCTTCTAAGGGATGTGCTGTTGCCCAAGTCTGCATCTGCCAGCAAAACTATTGAGTCTGGCTCTGGCTCTGCTAGCTGCTGCCCTGAGGAACCAAATGGAGAAAGGCTTCTGAGGCTGAGCTCAGTGGATAGGAATTAATTCAGGAACTTATCCTGAGCCTGGTGAGACTTTGGAGATGGAGGAGTGATGTGTGGAATTGAGTTCGATTTCGGGACAAATTAATTTATAAACCAGACGCTGTGAGAGGCGATGCTGGGCTGCAAAGAAGCTGATTGAGAAACTCCAATACACTGTTTACTTGGCGTCTGTATTTACAGGAGGCGACGACAATGGGAGGCTAGGACACAGGAATCAAGTGCTTTGGCGAGGAAATAAGAACTTGGATGGGACTCAGGGGTGATGAAAAAACAAGAGAGAGAAAACAGCTGTAACCCGTGTGAGCAGAAAGAAACACCCAGATACACCAGGGGACTTCAGATGTCACGGAACATGTTGGCAGATTGCTCTCCCTAACCAGAGGAAAGAATTCTTTCCCTCCTACTGCTGATGAAGCCTTGAGGAAACACCCACCACCCACGGGCTGATGAGGGCGGGTCCCCTGATCAGTGCTTTATCTTTGGAAACTCCTTCCCCTCGGCCTTCTGCACAGGCTGTCTCTGGTTGGAAGCACAGCCCATCCCTTTAAGGATAGAGATGGCAGCACCAGCAAAGCATCCTGGGAAGGAAAGTGAAGTAGGCTCAGGAGTTGTCATCTCCACAGTCAGCCCGGGAACTTAAAATTTACCTCTTTATAGGGTCCACACTGTAGGACAGGCTGGCCTTAAAGTCATGGTAATCCTCCTGTCTCCTAAGTACTATAGATTACAAACAGGGGCCACCATGTCTAGTTTATCCACTAATGTTTTTTTTTAAAGACTATTGATTTTTATTTTCTGCGTATGTGTCCGAGTGTGAGTGCACCTTGTACATGCTGGTGCCTACTGAGGCCAGAAGATACCAGATGTCTCAGAACTCGGGTTACGGGAGGTGGTAAGCTGCTGTGTGGGGGCGCTAGGAACTGGACCCAAGTCC